GTAGACAAGGCCGTCGCCGAAGACGTACCCCCCACTGACGTTCCGGCCGTGCTCCCAGACCCCACGGTAGAGCCCATCCCAGGCCTCGGCGTCGTCGGGGTCGATGGGGGGTTCGCCTTCCGCGTCGGTTCGGCCCCCCGTTTGGGCGGCCGCGGCGTCGGAGACGCCCTCGGGCTGGCGTTTCTCCGCGCGTTTCACGGAGGTCGAGCGGAGGTGACGGGGGTTCTTTTTGAAAAAAATCACCCCTTTGCCGTGAAACATCCCTTCTAACATCCCGCCTACGTAGCGGTTGCCATTGCTAAAGGTGTACTGCCCGAACCCGTGGAAGCGCTTGCCGTCCACGGTGTACTGCCCTTCATAAGAACTTCCCACGAGCTGCATGGTGTTGATTGATGAACTTCTTTCCTTCTTTATGTTTTTCTCTTAGGCCCTTTAACGGCTTCTTGGTCTCGTTGCCACAATCCGACTAAAACGGTGAAAGCAAAAGAGGAAGTGTGAAGTGAAAAGTGTTTAAAAGCACCCCCCCAAAAAAAAAAAAAAGTGGGGGGGATGAAAATCACGTGGTACCAAAAGAGCCATCGGTATTCCTAACTATACTATTGTTATTGGTAGCAGTAACATTTGATATTTGTGCAAGGATATTTCAAAATAGTGATAATTGTAATAATAAGAAAGTTAACCATCTGATAACAGCACACACAAATATTATACTTGCGATAGTTTCAGGATAATAAGTAAGTAATAATAATAATAATAATAGTAATAGTAATATAAATTGTATTTTTCACGAAATAAAGATCCTAATAACACAACTACCGTTTTGTCTTTTATGTGTGTGAGGATACGTATATAAAGAATGCGCATCCAAAACCGTGTCCTTCGCATTCATATTCATTTATTCTCTGAATAAATCCAAATAATAAATAATCACTAATATAAGAGGATGCATGGAGAACAGGCAAACCCGTGGAAAATCACACGTGCATTTGTGCTGAACCCATTCTCACTCCGTCGTATTTCTTCATCGCTTCTATTCTTTTTTTATTTTTGCTTCATTCCGCACCGAATGTGTTCTCCATGCAATAGGCAAGATACAAAAAGCCATCCGCGTTCCGGTATTTCTCGTAGAGGGTCCCCAAAGGGGTGTTGTTCGGCGGCATCAAAAACCCAATGGAGTCCGCCATGCTCACCGCAGGGCTAACGACGCTGATGAACACCGCCTCATGCGGGCTTAATGCGAGGCGCTCTCGAAGCAACAAAATCACCTCCCCAACCGTTTTATCCGTTGGTAATACCATCTTAAACGACTGCGCGGACAAAAAAGTTGAGGAGGAAGGGTATAAATGCGCGGGAGGAGGGGTGGTGTTTCGTTCGCGAGAACTTCCCCCCAGACCGCGACGCGTGGAACTCGAGGCCTCCAGACTACGATCATGACATCCCAGCGTCGGGCTGCTTTGGGAGAAGGCAAGAAAGGGCCTCGGATGAGTTTCCGAGAATTCACCCGCCCTCGAACACGCTTCCCGCGCGAGAGGTTTATCCGCATCTTCCATAACCTCCTCGACGTCTTCATCCTTCTCCAACCGTGGTAGCGTGCTCGCTGTGGGATGGAGTGGTGATAACACCGCACACGATGACGAGGAAGAAGAAGAAAAAGAAGAAAAAGGAGAATGAGACTTACACTCCCAGGCTAATGGACCTTCATGCTTTCCCGCCATGCTCTTCCTTTCCTTTAAATTATGAAGCCTTCGCATTTCCTCCTTACCTTTCGGAAGGTGCGCCAGCGAGGTTGTGCGAGGAGCCCCGTGTGGGGTATGGTAACTTTTCGAGCTCCACATGTGATCGGCCGGTTCAATAATAACTGGAATGCAGCCACTGTAGTTATTACGCAGCATGGTTGCTCTCGAACGACGCACCGCGAATGGATTAGTCCGTTGGTAACGCGTCTGAAGCGCCATGTTGTTTATCAAAGAGGAAGATGATTGACGCATTTATAGTTGTATATATATATATATATATATATTTATACTAGGATCCAATTGAACTCCTTTTTTGTCTGTGATAAGCTTTTTAGTTTCTTAATGCTGTATAGCATCTACCCCTATGACCTTTATGTTACGGTCACCCTTGCGGTTTTTAATAACAGACCTAAAGAACCTAAGGCAACGCTAAGCACATTACTGTCAGAGCAAGCATAATGAGAAAGTAAATTGGTCTAAAGCGCATGCCAATTGCGGGCGTATCCTCATCTTTGCGAGACTAAATACGCATCAGAAAAGGCAATGAACGAATAAATAAACTAGCTATGTGAATTATATTCCTTATTAAGTTATACGTGAATTAATAAATCATAGAAAATATGTGTATTCTCTGCATTCGCTGGTACTGTTACGATTAAATAACCAATGGGAAAAAATATCTAATAGCTCATACAAATTGTAGATACAACTATCCACTACTCCACATTCTTCCTTTGTTAAGACGATCCCTAAGGTCTATAGAAATACACTCTCAAACTTGAAAAAACAACACAGGACACATATATCCCATAAATCTAAATCAACTAAACACTATTCATCAGTGTATGAGCAACATAATATCTCTAATAAATAAATAATTATATATATATATATTTGTATGTGGATGTGAGAAAGTGTAAATCAATAAAAAAGATACATAAATGCATGCTAATAATAATAATAATAACCTAAAAATGAAGCCAATAAATGCAGAAGTTCACCTTTGTCAGCCCTGTATACATATCAAACTTAAAAATCGCAAGAGTATTTTCAATTCATTTGTGTCATTTGTTCTAATTGGAAAATACGGCTTCTTGCCACCTATACAGTTAGACATCAGACAGTATAAACAAAACGAACAAAAAGAATGCCGCTTAAAGACTAGAAAAGGTATCAAATTTACAAAAAAGGCGGAGGCAGGACTTAGTTAAACTTCCAATCCTTCCCCTTCCCAAAAAAAAATGGAGAGGCCGTAGGAAACCTCAAAAAAAAAGGACTAATCTCTCTCCCTCCTTCCAAACCATAGTCTATCTATTCTTCGTACTAGCATTTATAAGTATTATTTATACCCCTCCCATTTTTTTCTTTCGCACATCCTGAACGGCTTTTCAATCATCCGCTAAAGCCCCCTCCGCGGCTTGGAGCACCTCGATCTCGCGGAGAAGCTCCAAGGCGCTGGAGGCGGACTGCTGGCTGCCGCGAATCCGTGTGTTGAGCTCTTTCATCAAGATTTGGATATGCCCGTTCAGTGCAGCAACCACCTCGCGATGCCCTTGCTGAGTTTGCTCGAGATCCGCACTCAGTGCCTCTTTTTCCAGTTTCAAACGCTCAATCTGATCACGAAGGTGCGCGATCACCTCTTTTACGGAGTAAAGCACGTCATGAGGACGCGCAACGTTCGGCCCCGCTTGGGAGGTAACGTTGCCTTGCACCCGGCCGAGAGTACGACGGTAGCGAATCTGCTCCTCATCCCGTTCTGCCTGCATATCTAGAAGCTTATTATCCCGATTCTCGATTTCAACGAGCGCGGAATACTCATTCGTATGAGCCGATTCAAGCAAGCCAACGAAATCCTCCAACTTTTCGACCGCGTCGGTGTGCTCACGTGACTTGTGCTGCAACTCCTCCGTGAGCAAGGCGATACGATCATGCAGGGTGCCGACCGCCTCGGCCTGCCCCTGCTCCAACCACGCGGAGGACTCCCGCAAGGCATTCCGTTCACGAATCAGCGCCTCGAGAAGATCTTTTAGCTCCTCACGAGAGAGTTCGTGAATTTTCTCACCGCTAATAGTCGAATCAGCCTTATGCAAAACGCCTGAAGAGGTGGATTCAGCGATCTTAGAAGGCCGAACGCGTCTCTCATCGCAAAGTCGTTGCAAATCACAGCGCTGCTCCTCGCTAACGATAAGGCGCTTCCGGAGATCCTGCTCACTCGCACGAGCAGCATCTAAAAGTCTAACAAATTCTTCGAGAAGGTCTAACGAGTTAGTGTGCTCTGAAGCATAAGCATTTGACTCATCCATCAATCCCTGAATAATCGCCATCTGAAGCTCAAGCAAAAAATGACGTTCAGTGAGGCGATAATCAAGAAGCTCCTCTAACATCGCGCGATAAATATATGAACGTGCAATTTCTTCCTTATGTTGGAAAGAAAGAACATTAAAATAGAAAAATCGAGATTCATCGTCAGAGACAGCCCCAACCTTAACATCAGTGTGGTGTTGCTGG